TCAGGATGAGGAGGGACACCTTCCTGGAGCTCTGCGAGTGGCTCACCCCTGCTCTGCGCAGAAAGGACACTTGCATGAGGCCCGCCATCCCCCTCCAGAAGCGGGTGGCCATCGCCCTCTGGAAGCTCTCCACGCCGGACAGCTACCGATCCGTCGGGAACCATTTCGGCGTCGGGAAATCCATTGTCGGAGCGGTGCTCATGGAGGTACAGCACCCACCGGCCACTGGGCTGGGGGGGAGGGTGGCTGCAAGGAGAGGATGGGCCGCCCCAGGGAAAATGGGGGGGAGGAGGTGAAAGTTCCCCGCACAGGAGGGTTAGGTCTGTCCCGGCCGTACTACACGCCACCCGCAGCGGCCAGTATCTCAGCGGGGGTTGCTTCTGGGTGTGGGGAGTGGGGCAGTGCCAGGGAATGAACACTCCCAGCCACGCGGGCAGCCCAGTGATTCCCAGTTTGGTGTGTCTCTCTGCAGGTGGTCAAGGCCATCAACAGGGTGCTGCTCCGCAGGGTGGTCCACCCCACCTGGCCCCCTTTATACCATTTTTGGGGCCAACACCCCCACCTATGGGTGCAGCAGTGATCTGGCTGCTTCCCTCAAATTCAGTAACGTGACAGAGCTGGAGGAGGGTCTTGCTTGTCCCTGGCACTCAGGGAATGGGGTCCTGCCACGGCAGAGCCCCAGCGCCCGCCGAGCCCCTGAACTCCGCTCCAGTGAGCCAGGAGCTGGCTGCCGGGAGCAGCCACCATGGCCGCGGCCTGACCCGCCGGGCTCAGCGTCACCAGCAGCAGCCAGGGCCCTGTGCCACCCTCCAGGAAGCGCCCCATGAGGGGCCGCGCCTTGGCGCTGCCTGCACAGAGCTCCCAGCACCTCAGGGCCAGGTGCAGGCTTGGAGCAGCCGGGTGTGGGGCTGTCAGCTCGGGGCAGCCTCTACGGGGCTCCCCACCTGCTCCTCCTCGGGCTGGAATGCCACCCCTGGAAATGTGTCGACCCAAGCACATGCTTGTTTTTCTGGTGCCTAGAGCTGGCCCTGCCCACACCTCTGGATTTGTACAGCTGTACAGAGGACACCAACTTTGGGCACAGCCTTGCTGCCCTTAGGCAGCAAAGAGCAAGAATATGAAACCGTGTGTATCCCAAACAGACTGTCACTCAGCGGGACTGTGAAAAGCCTCCTGGACAATGGATGGCTCTGGGTTTGTCTATGCTTCAAATATTGCAGTGGCTCAGCTTTATTGCCTCAGGGCAGATACAGCCTGCAGGTTTCCTGCAGGTGCAGTGAATGCATCTACCTTTTGGTGGTACCTAACCTGGCAGAAGAATACTCCTGTTGATCTAGCACAGTCTGAGGGCTGCCTAAGGGAGGAGTGGTAAGTCCAGGTGGTATGAAGGATTGGAAAGGGGAGGGGTGGTCTGTTCTGGGCAGTGTGGAGGACTAGCTAGGAGAGGGGAGGTATGGCCTGGGCGGTGCAGAGGGCTGGTGAGGGGAGGCATGGCACAGTCGGAGCAATGCTGAACAGTGGTAGAAAAAGTATCCAAAAAGGTTACTTGAGTAAAAGTACTGCTACTTTGAAAAAAATGTAACTAAATAAAAGTCAGAGTATCCTTCTGGAAAACGACTTGAGTAAAAGTACAAAAGTATCACATCTTAATTGTACTCAGGTATCCAGAAGTAAAGTAGCCATCCTATGGTTAGTCCCAGTCTCTTTAGCCTCTCTTCATATGGGACCTGTTCCAAACCTCTGATCATTTTAGTTGCCCTCCCCTCTCCCACCCTCTTTCTTCCCCTCTCCCACCTCCTTTTCCCAGTCTCCCTGAGTTTTGGACACGTGTCCTTTATTTTGTACATCAGGAAGGGGGGCTAGGGAGGGGTAAGTGGAAGGAGGTGAGGGAGGAATGGGGTACAAGCCCCTGATGGGGAGGACTGGGGTGGCTCTGTGGGCTCCTTGGGGTGGAAGCTCTCCTGCAGCCCCCCAATTGCTCCCCCTTCCCCGGATGG